CACTAATTCCTGCTGTAAGTGGACTGCAAACCTGGCATACCTTCATTGATCACAGCCGTAGTAGTTGATTCCACCGGCTCGTTCTCGGGTTCTTTTGGCAACTGATCTTTGCGAATGATGTACGGGTTCTCCTTGCTCAATGAGCTCCTGTCGAAACCCGATTCGGGTCTCTCTCTACTTCTGCTGGAAACCCCGGATGGGATCTCTTCCCTCGGCTGTCGTCCACTGTCGTCTTCACCCACTGTCGACAATTCCCGGGACTCGTGAGATGTGTAAGTGAGATGCTCTACAGTTTCTGCTCCATTGTCACGATTTCGGTTCTCGTCATTCTCAAAGCTTCCTATCGAACGACCGTTTATGCCTCGTTCTTGTTTGTTTGATGTCGACTGTTGCTCCGCGTACTCGTCGTAATAATAGCTGCAAAAATGAAAATCAAGTTTGTTTCGAAATTATCCACGGAAAAATGAATAAGAACAGCTTTGAGAGGTCTCCATCAGAAAGCTGAATACTCCGTTTGGCAGCTTCTATTTTCGATTAGTTTTCTTGTACATCAGAAAACCATCATTATCTTCCTCAGAGTGTTGAAGCCCTTCAAAAGACAATTCTTAATAATCCTAATAGGTAATCCTTAATTACGTCAAATAGCTAAGTATCCGAATGTCATGTTATATCTACTCCACGAAGTTACCTAACTTGAAACTCGAGCCAAAAACTTTACAACTCTAGGCCCTATTGACTATGTGTCATGTCATTATCAAAGAACTATGTCCATGGTCAAGCACCAGTATGACTTCTCTGAAAGCAAGTTTGTGTTTCTTCTGTAAAGAAAACCAAAAATTATGCGTTTGCTGGGAATGATGAGTGATCACTTTTATTTGCGCGTAAACTATTAAAAGTTGAGTACCGTATTTATGCTGAGCAGGGAAAATACCACAGAGGAGCAGAATTCTGATGCAATTGAGTTTCCCGCTAAATTCTATCTGAATGATGCGTTTCAAAATGGCATTGATGTGAATTCACGATTTTGCTGACCACGTACCGCGGATTCTTGAGGCAAATCTCATCGCCAGTTTTTATCTTCATGAACCTCCCGCAGGAGAAAGCCATTAACTGGACCGTTGGGATCGTAAAAACCCACAAGGCTATTGGGAAATTCTCCTCGAGAACAAATGCGGAGGGCTCTTCGTCATGGGTTTTGCATCCTCAAATCTGTTTTTTTTTCTGCCTTCGAATTGTTAGAAGTACTTTTTTACAAATGCAGTAAATAAAGATCTTCTCGATTTTCAAACAGTCACAATCTTCACGGCTGGGAAGTTTCCCTCTCATCTTCCCCAGCGGCTTCGACAGTATTTGGATTCCCGACGGAAAATATCTTGTCTTCTTCAAACATTTTTGTGAGGTATTTATGAATCCTTTGTGTAGTACACTACATATAGATTATAATCGAAAACGGCCTGTTCGCAGATAAATTAAAGCAGTACAAGCGTAAAAAACACGCATTTTTATGAATTAATCGCGCGTTCATAACAGATTTTCAGAAAAATGCCAGAATAATAGGTTTGTAAATGGGTTTGAACTTACTAATCGTAGTCGACGGCAGTTGGAGGATGATAAAGCTCAAGATTCAGATAAAAGAATCTTTCAGATTCCGGACAATTCACTTCATCGAGCCTCTCGCAGACCCGAGTTTCCTGGTCGAAAACTGTCCCATTGAGACATAGAAACTTCATGTCTCTCACCTCACCTGAAAGGAATCACGAAGTCTTGAATTTCCTTCTTGAAAAATAATTGAATAATTCCTCGGGAAATTTCGAAGTCCTTGAAATCTCTGAAATGTTCTCATCAAAGCACATCCTTCAAGAATCTTCCAGCTTCGTGCAAGACTCACTTTCTCTCGACAAGTTCAGCCTTTCCAACTTTCTATCATGTTTCGTTCCATAGATCGGATGTNCTCGTTCTCGGGTTCTTTTGGCAACTGATCTTTGCGAATGATGTACGGGTTCTCCTTGCTCAATGAGCTCCTGTCGAAACCCGATTCGGGTCTCTCTCTACTTCTGCTGGAAACCCCGGATGGGATCTCTTCCCTCGGCTGTCGACCACTGTCGTCTTCACCTACTGTCGACAATTCCCGGGACTCGTGAGATGTGTAAGTGAGATGCTCTACAGTTTCTGCTCCATTGTCACGATTTCGGTTCTCGTCATTCTCAAAGCTTCCTATTGAACGACCGTTTATGCCTCGTTCTTGTTTGTTTGATGTCGACTGTTGCTCCGCGTACTCGTCGTAATAATAGCTGCAAAAATTAAAATCAAGTTTGTTTCGAAATTATCCACGGAAAAATGAATAAGAACAGCTTTGAGAGGTCTCCATCAGAAAGCTGAATACTCCGTTTGGCAGCTTCTATTTTCGATTAGTTTTCTTGTACATCAGAAAACCATCATTATCTTCCTCAGAGTGTTGAAGCCCTTCAAAAGACAATTCTTAATAATCCTAATAGGTAATCCTTAATTTGCAGTTTATCGATTCATAGGCTTACAGTACAATATAGATGAGGTGCTTCAATGGATTGAACTTTGAGCTCGGTTTTTGAAATGTTGAGATCCGGGATAACTGATACACAGTACAGTAATAGTTTCTGCTATGTCCATGGTCAAGCACCAGTATGACTTCTCTGAAAGCAAGTTTGTGTTTTTTCTGTAAAGAAAACCAAAAATTATGCGTTTGCTGGGAATGATGAGTGATCACTTTTATTTGCGCGTATACTATTAAAAGCTGAGTACCGTATTAATGCTGAGCAGGGAAAATACCACAGAGGAGCAGAATTCTGATGCAATTGCGTTTCCCGCTAAATTCTATCTGAATGATGCGTTTCAAAATGGCATTGATGTGAACTCTCGATTTTGCTGACCACGTACCGCGGATTCTTGAGGCAAATCTCATCGCCAGTTTTTATCTTCATGAACCTCCCACAGGAGAAAGCCATTAACTGGACCGTTGGGATCGTAAAAACCCACAAGGCTATTGGGAAATTCTCCTCGAGAACAAATGCGGAGGGCTCTTCGTCATGGGTTTTGCATCCTCAAATCTGTTTTTTTTCTGCCTTCGAATTGTTAGAAGTACTTTTTTACAAATGCAGTAAATAAAGATCTTCTCGATTTTCAAACAGTCACAATCTTCACGGCTGGAAAGTTTCCCTCTCATCTTCCCCAGCGGCTTCGACAGTATTTGGATTCCCGACGGAAAATATCTCGTCTTCTTCAAACATTTTTGTGAGGTATTTATGAATCCTTCGTGTAGTACACTACATATAGATTATAATCGAAAACGGCCTGTTCGAAGATAAATTAAAGCAGTAAAAGCGTAAAAAACACGCATTTTTATGAATTAATCGCGCGTTCATAACAGATTTTCAGAAAAATGCCAGAATAATAGGTTTGTAAATGGGTTTGAACTTACTAATCGTAGTCGACGGCAGTTGGAGGATGATAAAGCTCNAAGCGTAAAAAACACGCATTTTTATGAATTAATCGCGCGTTCATAACAGATTTTCAGAAAAATGCCAGAATAATAGGTTTGTAAATGGGTTTGAACTTACTAATCGTAGTCGACGGCAGTTGGAGGATGATAAAGCTCAAGATTCAGATAAAAGAATCTTTCAGATTCCGGACAATTCACTTCATCGAGCCTCTCGCAGACCCGAGTTTCTTGGTCGAAAACTGTCCCATTGAGACATAGAAACTTCATGTCTCTCACCTCACCTGAAAGGAATCACGAAGTCTTGAATTTCCTTCTTGAAAAATAATTGAATAATTCCTCGGGAAATTTCGAAGTCCTTGAAATCTCTGAAATGTTCTCATCAAAGCACATCCTTCAAGAATCTTCCAGCTTCGTGCAAGACTCACTTTCTCTCGACAAGTTCAGCCTTTCCAACTTTCTATCATGTTTCGTTCCATAGATCGGATGTATTTTTAGCTATCTTCATTTTTGTTGAATGGAAAACGGGGTGATCAGAATTCAAAAAAGTCGATAACATTTTAAATTTCATCTTACGAATAGTTTCCATCATCTTCTCGAAATTTATTCAAGACGACAAAACAGAAAAAACGACGGAAGCATGCATGAACTTTTTTCACATATTTGACGATATTATTTTTTCAGGGTGAAGAATATAACTTGCCTTTTTGCCCCAGCGTGCAAACATGGAACATTTGGCAGCCTGTGTCCATGTCCGCATAATATCCACCGATCACTTTTCCTTCGCAAGAAAACTGGGTTTGCGGCAAGTTTTCGTAATTGAGAAACTGAAAAGGAGAAAAAAACCTCATCACACGGAGGAAAAAAAACGAGGTTAAAATCTCAAAACGAAACTCACACCAGGAACTGGGAAACCTTGAGCAAAAATGGTTTCCAGTCCAGCAAAAAGAAGCAGCAACAGACTCATCACGTGAAACTTCTTTCGCAAACCTAAAATAGACAACAACAAAAAAGTCACTAAAAATATTTTTCATGCTGAATGCTTTGATGCATGTTTTTCAAAAATTCGCAAGCACCCTCAAACCGCTTCTCCAAAAATCTAGAAATGTCGAAAGAAATGCTCAAGACGGTATGAATGTTCTGGAATATTTCTTCGTCGAAACCAAATCTACCGATTACCCTCTAAGGACCTTCGGGACATAATTAAAGACAATTTTCCCCTCGGATGGATCATGTTTTGAGACAATATAATTGCCCTCGTATGTGTAAGACGATACTCATCGGGCTTCCTCAAGACATCCAACGGATCCCCGAGCAGAAAGAGCGATTGCTTTAAAATCTGACCTCAAATTTTTAACGACTCACCAAAACGGAATAATTGCAAGTACGTGCGGACACGATGAGAGCATCATAATAATACAGTCAGTAAATGTAAGTGTATATACACTGTACGTTGAACAACAAGAAGATGGACGGGGTTTTTCATTTTTAGCACTGGATTCGTCAAAGTTTCTATCCATCACCGTCACGAAGTCGGACCACCTCGAACCCGAAACCGTGTTACTCATCGGCCCTGTGGTTCTGCTTTTTTATGTCGCAATCCCCAAAAAGGTTCTGAACCGCCATTAGATCATCTTCCCCCTCGGCGATGCACTGACAGATTAGGGACTTGCGATTACCATCACGAAGTATGGCATGAAGCAGGAAGAACACCACACGCACTGGATCGACTCTTTCTCTCCCTCATGAGCAACGATAAATAATTCGTTGTAGTGAACATATCGGTGTAGAGGGATTTCATTTTATGTTTCTGCTGTATATACAGAGGGACCATCAGAGCAAGACAAAAAATAATCGTGTAAGAATGTAGTCGTGGATGCAATTTTCAAGGAGAAATTGAGAGAGCGCCAATATTCATTGAAATATGCATCGCAACGCAATAACGTTAAAAAAAATATTTCTTCGGGCATAAATGCAGCTAATCATTATTTTGCTTTGCATTGTTTACGCATGAGTCACTCTGGAATCGACACCTATGGATAAAACTGGAGTAATTGAGGTACAGCTAGTACTTATTTGTGTTTTCCAAGTGTCCAGCTTATTTGAAATTCTTGAATCAATTCTATCCAACAGATGACCTCATGGAAAGAGCAGTATTATAGACAGCGCTTCACACCAATGTTTTTTTATTGCAAGCATATTAAAATGATTCATTTTTCGTTCCATGCATTCAGATGAATTTATTTACAGGTGGACAAGAAAAATGTTTTCAGTGACATCACAATTTTTTTTTAATTTTAATTTTGTATTCGTAATTGTTCTTTGCTTCCTGGATGAATGGAGATGGACGTAAGTATTACAGAGTAATTTTTTATTATTGTGTGTCAACTTTTGAAATTATTTGGTACGGTTGGATCACTTGAAGATTGAATTAAAATACAGTATAGTTGTGAGTAAAATCCGCAAGTCTTCTGATAAAAAAAATGTTTGCCAGCCAGATACAGCATACGCATATTATTATGCCTAAAAAATTTAAAAAACTCAAAAAATGTGTTCTGCTTGAATCTGCTGGTCTTTTTTGCCGCGCCTTTTCCTCGTGAAGTGATTAATGCATTAGAAAACGCATTTTTTTATACCACACAATGCTTCAATTGGCGAATTACAAGCAAATACCGAACTGAGACTTCAATTTTGAAGTTCGAAAGATTCATTTCTCCTACTGAGGTTTCGTTTCAACATTTATTACGAACACGTGGTTTTTTTTAAATTTTTATTGAGAGAGAGGTGGGTTTGGGATGAGCAGTGTGAGTCGTGCCTGCTGCTGGTGTCTCACGGGTCATCATGCAACTCACTCGTATACTGCAATTCCAATCGCAACACGACCTCGATGAACTTGTCGGGTTTCGTCCTTCGAAAGCCATCATCTGCTCATCTTCTTGAGCAGAAGATTGTGAGAGAATTGTCATTGGAATTTCCCTCAGGGCGCATATACAGAAAACCTTCATATCTTTTTCGTAGTGGGGAAATAAAAATCAAAAACGAAAAAAATTGGACCATCTGGAGATAGTTTCAGTCTGCGAAAAAGTACACGTGTTCTTCAGGTCGTCATGAGCATTATGAATATTGGATTAATTCTATAGTTTGATAAATGTGTTTGCCATTGGACGACCGGAAAAATATGGGAAAAATCCGTGTGTGGCAAGTAAACCATCGTTTCTCATTAATTTATAGAGCTAATTATAATTGTAGCTGCGGGGAATAATAGAACATCACTCTGAAAAATTAGGTCTACAGTATTGACATTCATCTAAGAAGCAAAGCAAATTTTTCAAAATTTATGGCCATCCCTCGTTTTCTGCCTAGTTTAATTTTAGGCTATACAGTAATGATTAATTAGCGTGGAAGGTCAAATTAATTAGCATGGAAGGTCAGGGAATCTCGAAATTTCAAGCAGTTATGAGCACTTCTATTAATTTCTATATGAAGAGCTCGAAGAATTTTATTTTTTCATTCTGAAAAACCACGAGAGATATTTTGCTTTTGTTAACCTAAATACTCTATACTTGTTGCAGGTTCTCTATACACGGAAATTACCCATTTTATTTCCTTCCAGGAACAAGTGGTGATTTTCTCCCTCTGCAGCGGTTCCTTGTTTTTCTCCTATGCAAAACGACGTCCGCATTAATGCGTGACGCTTTTCCCTGTAGAAGGCCAAGCGCCTATTTCCCCCTCTTTTTATTGCTGACAGTGACGGATGCCACTGTGACGGATTTTCTTTGACGCTGCGGGGATCCAAGAGGAAAATCCTCTTGGATATATGTATATTTTTGATTGAATGTATTTCACCTGATGCGCGCGTTTCACCTGTGTTGTATTATAATGTATGCATGAGGTCTTAAAGAAAAACCTCATGAATTTCTTTTACTTGAAGGAATCTCGCTGATCCT